TAAATACTTTCACTTAGATTTGACCCCGGTACTAGTAGCCCGCCATAGCTGGCATAAGAACTTACACTGAAACTTATGACTGGGACAATATGGCCAAATTTTCAGCTTTTACAACACGAGTGTACATGCAGCAACAAACTTTACGCCCTACGAACTAGTATTTGGGAAAGTAGCAAAGTTGCCTTTGAAGCTAACTACAGATGAAAGCTTACGAACCTATCTATTATATTTACAAGATCTTATTAAGCGACTTTCAGGAATGCAAATTATGGCAGGAAACTAACAAATAAAAATAAAATTACAAGCAAAAATAAGATACGACAGAAAAATAAAGCTTTTAAATGCTATACCAGGAGATTGCGGGTGGGTCAAGAAAGGAGTGCGTTCCCATAAATTTAATCGCTACTGTAATGTATCGGCATTCTGATATAAATTTGTATTGCGTGTGACTGATATGTATGCCTGGGACTAGCGAAGTATAGTTGATACAGTAAACTCGTCAGAGCTGTGCTGACCCTAAACCAGGGCACACGTATACGATAAGCCACTCACCGTAATACTTCTGTACTCTTGCTTGTGTAATCGTTTGCTAATTTCTATATTAAATATGTTATTTGTATAGCTAATAATGCTGCCTAGTTATTGCCTTTTCCCGTATGTAACAGCTACTATAAAGAACCCCTGAAAGTAAAAACAGTTTTAGAGGGAAGTAATGTATTACTTAAAAATAATAATGATGAAATCATACAAAAACACACAGATAAATTAAAACTAGTTTCCCAATAATAATATCCTTGTAAGAATTATGTTCTACGTGTCTTCCTGAGAAAAAAATAACGATACGGATTATATTAAATATCTAAATGACAATAGTACCTGGAGATTGGACAGATTTAAACAATGCCAACCATGGCAACTACAGCATAAAACAACTGGAAATGAACCCTGAAATATAATATGAACGAATCAGTACTACAAAAATTAAAAATGCTGATTGGAAGACAGTGAAATGGCTTGACTTTAATGAATTCATATTGAAACACACACCTATTTAAAGATAAAATGAAACCTTTTGATATTGCATTGCACAATTTGGTTATCATCATCAATCAACACTCAGATATAATATACCTATTAGATAGAAATTAACTTGAACTTATCTGTATTACATGAACTCTCAAAGGACACTCATGTCTGCCACGACGCTATAAAATCGATTCGAGTACTCAATTTTAATGATAAAGCATGAATAGATGAAGAATTACATATACAAAACATAAGAAACCAAATGGAGAAAATACAAACCTGCGAATTGGAGGAAAAACAAACATCTTTTTTTACTTTAATACGTAATGTCTTTGAAGCTGTCATCATTATAATTATAATGAAAATAACTATTAACAAAGCAAGAAGTTGTTGTAAGAAAACTATGACACTTAGTAGGTCGAAAAAATTTATAAAACGCATCGCCAATCCACTAAACACAGAACCCAGAGACACGAACCAACTCAACTCCATGTCGAATTTGAAGAGAAACCAAAAATACCTCAATCATTTAAAATTCGACTTATAAAGAAGACATGGAGTTGGATACTCTCACGTTATACACCCCAAAAGTAAGAAATAGACTTAAGAATCAATAGTAATTTGATACTATTTTCCTGTAGGCTTCATGATGAACTCTGACTGTGAAATAACAATAATGACTAAAGTTAACATAGAACGTCCTTTACATTAAGTTATTGACCAATTAGAGAATAACGGAAACATCAAGAAAATGCACGTACTTCCGGATTTACATGGTAATACACATTGAACTATAACCGCTATTTACGTTAGTTATTTATTTATTAAAAAGCCTGATGAAACACTAACTGAAGGAAAAGAAATTCAGACACTTTCTACTCTGAGACAAAATCCACTATTTGTCAAGGAAAAAAAATTTCTTTATCAACATCACAAAAGAGAGAAAATCAAAAGTAGGAGAAAATTAACTGAATAATAGAACCCTTACAGACACCAAGCTATATTCTACGTCAAGAGAATACATCATTTAGTTTCAAGATTTAATTTTAAGGTTTATAAAAACAATGAGCAAATTATATGTTATATTTAGTGCAAATATTAGAATCACACTATGTTAATTGTGATACAGACTCCAACCAATGGAATTAGAGTCTTGAACTTCAAGCTGGCCGAGCCGCAACAGTCCGGACAGGAGTCTAGTTAACAGTAGCCACCAGCTTTTTTTCACTTTTACATGCAGTGTATTAATAGGAATTTATTTAAAATTACAAACAAATCATCTTAATTATGTGACAACCGTTCTTACGTGTAAGGAGTCAAAAAAAATTTTTAAGCTGAAAATTAATATGATAGTAAGCCTTTTAAATCTACTGCATGAATAATAAAATAAATCTACTGCTTAACACTTTTAAATAATATAAATGAGCAAGCGCTGCGAGGGGGCTGTGTGGTGGTCTTAATAATACGCGAGGAAAATGCAGGGAACAGCAGGAGAGTTAGCGGAAGTTTTTGAAAAGGGGTTGGAGCACTGGAAATTTTTAAACAGATGTGCAGGAGTTTAACGGGTAGATATGTGATAGAGTTTGACTTCAGCAAGATTAATACACAGGTCTACAAAAAAATAGCTCACCGGACTAGGCGATGTTTATCTTATGTTTCTGGGATCGTTAAACCCGAATCTGTACGGTTACGTAGGAAAAGCCTTATACGGTGTCTATATTTTCAGATCAAAAGGTTTAGTAATTACATGGTAACTAGGATTATGTATTTAAAATTAGTTAGAATACAGATATCAGCAATCACTACATTTTCAGACCTATTGTTTGAGCTTGTGAAAAAATCTGGGAGTGATGCAGTTACACAGTTCATAAATTCGGACTCATCAATCCTTTAAACCTACAACACGTAACATAATCTAGTCCGGAGAATAACTTTTTTTTTAGAGCTGTGTTATAAATTGAAGAAGAAAAACGAGAAGTCAGATTACATCTTATTAGTCTGAATTCTGACTTTTCATTTCTATCTTGAGTTATCGATTAAGCTCAACAAGTTTAAGCTTGATTAATTTTTTTTAATTTAAAAAATGTGCTTCAACTAACTTAGTTTTTCGAAATAAATGACTAGTTATCCAATACGTAATGTTATGAATTCATAAATTACATCGATCCTATCGATGAGGCACAAAACTTTAATCGATTCCAGAACTCCCTTAAACCCCTTTTGAATATGTATATAAATGCAAAGGATTTCTTAGTTATTAGCAGATCAATTTATATTGATAATTCTTAATTATAACTGCTGACATTTTTATCGGCTTAATAAAATCTTACAAATTATGTGTTATGCATTTATAAGTCAACAATTTGCCTTGTATATTTCAAGTTTTCTCAAAACATAATGATATTAGTATAACTATTTTGCCCAATATTATTTCCGAACAGATGAATTGTTTGGACTTTGTTGATCTTATCAGGCGAAATAAAATCTTGATGTCAAGTAAGAACGAGAAAAATATCCCCGAGTACGGATCGAACGTACATCCTTCTGTTTACTAATAGTGTGAGCACACTAGATCAAAACTACCCCTATTTTATGAAAATCCAGAGTGGGCAAAAATAATGTTTTGTATAGATCTTGAGCCTGATAACAAACGTAACCACTTTCGGATAAAAAAAATGTCAGCAAAAGGTCCAAAAAAAGTGGTAAAAATGGCCAAATTGGATATTTTGGTTCTATCAGAAAAGCTGTAATTTGGCCAAAAAAATGTTCCGTATGAAAAACATACGCAATTTCAAGACGAACAAAATGAGCCCTGTTGAACCCAAATCGGCCTTACCGGTTTTTCGCAAATTGCCAAAAAGTGCTAATTTCACCCTATTTTTCGCTATTTCATAACTGGCGTTCTAATGAGAATTTTGACTCCAAATTTTGATAGAACATGGTTTTTGTGATTTTTAACAAACCCAAAAAACTTCAAGACGATCGGATGCAAACTTTTTGCAAGCCATTAAAAGCTTAAAAAAAGGTCTTTCCGAAAAATTGCTCTAAAAAAGTTGTTACACCACATAGTCATTTTTCAAAATGTTTTCTCTTAATAAGATGTTCATCTAACTCTGGTTGAATTTTCGTATCTCTAAATTTTTCGTAAGTACCCTAAAAATGTATCGGAAAATAGTACTTTTTCGCAAGGTACCAGCGGCGGCGCTGGATACGCACGGCCCTGCGAGGAAGTGAGCGTGGCCTAAATCGGCGGCTCGCTCAATCCAGCGCCACACTACGTTCTGAAATGATGAAATCACAGTTAGATCTCATGTAAAAACTTACGAGGTGACATTTCAACATTTCAATGGTGTATTTTTTTTTTTGTAACAATAAAAACTATTTAATAAGGATCAAAAATCATACCAAATAAATGACACTAAGATCTTAATTTTAAACTGAAACTGTTTATTATTGTGGTAGACAATTTGGCTGAAGTATTTGTCAGAGTGCCTACAAAAAATAATGTTTTCTTGTAGCTAATCGATGTCATATTTGAAAACTTAATTTTTAGTTGATAAAAAATAATTTATAATATGTAAGCGAGAAAAAGTAAACTAAGAAAGTTATGCTTATGAGTTATGTAGCTTGAATTTGAAAATAATGATTCCAACTAATTCGTTTTGATAAATCGGATAAGTGGTTTTTTGGCACCCTGGGTACTTATCCCATCGAAAAAGCACAAAAAAAAAATTTTAAAGGTTTTCGACAGGGTTCGAACCCACATCCCCTCGAGTTTCTCCGGATACGAGTCTAGCACAATAACCACTAAATTATCAAAGCTTTGATTACAACTCTTATTTTATTTTCCAAGACAGCTAGTGCTACTAGTAACCTATTATGCCAATTTAAGTGAACAAATAAAATTATTTTATATTGTTATTTTTATTACACAAAATTGACTAATTTTTTGAGATTAAAAACAATCAACTTACCAATTTTTTGCCACTGCAAGTTTTGCTCTCACTTTTAGTTTTAGGCTGCTCTGTCTCACTGCAACTTATTGAAGAGAGATCACTGGCATACAGTTTTTTTCGTGATACTGAACCATTACAATATAAACGTTTATTAGAGGCCCCATTGAAATCTTGTTGAAGCTTATTTTCATCAGCAGAGAGCTGCGTATTTGGCATATCTAAGCCCTGGATGCGTGCCACCAAAGTTTCTAGCTTGGCCGTTTGGAATTCAGCATCTGGATGAGAATACAGTCGGTCGTAGAGAGAAGGCGCATGGTTAGCCTCAAGTATGGCGTTTTCTGCAACGCATGTTAGGGACATACTCGAAAGCAGCATAACTTGTTTCTGAAAAGTTTGTTCACGCAGCCGAAACAGCGTGCGACAATGCTTTTCACGACGATTCACCATGTAACAGAGGTTGCGAACGCGCTCCAGATCTTGTCGTAGTTGCACAAATTTACGAAGCTTCTCGTTATCTTGCGCCTGGCCTTGCACTCGCATTCCATTACTTGATAGTTCACCGCAGCGTGGTGAAAGTAAGGGTTTGTTATGGCCCGCCTAAAAAAAATTTTTAAATTGTATTATCACTTTATAATGTAAATTATTTTTACGATACTTTTCTATTTTAATCATGATCGTACAAGTAATCTTAATATGGCTGGCATAACAGAAAAACATGCTTTTTCCATCGAAAAAATGCCGTTTTCACAAGAAGTCCGGAGAAAAACAGTCTAGCTAATTGGGGTTTTCAAGTATTTTACGTGAATAAGCAATAAATTTTTTCAAAAGGCTCTTCTTCTTAATGCACCTTTTCTAAACTTACATTTATAATAAACATGACATATTGATGTGCGCTAGTCCAAAAATAATTACTTTAATATAAAAATATAAACCAGATTATTTAACGGCTAATAGTTGATGTAAGGTGCGTTAGTTGCTACGTCACTCAGGATAAATACTTTAAGATTTTTTTTATTTACTTCAAAATTTTAAATGGTATTTACATAGACACATAAAAAATAAAGACTGCTCTATGTACGGTGCTGAAACACAAGTAGAAGGAGACACAACATCGAACGTGGGTATCAGTCTCTCTCACGCATTCCCACCTTTGACAATGTACCAGAGAGATAGATACCCACGTTCGATATTGTATCTCCTTCTATTTGTACTTTAGCGCCGTACATAAGAACGAGTAGTCTATTTTTATTATATGTCTATGGGTATTTATGTATACATATTTGACAGTATTCATAGACTCGATACAAAACATGCCATACCACGTATACATAAGTATGATTAATAAAAAGCTTATAAATTTAATAAACTTCTAAGGTTTAGCCAGTATATAAAAGGACAGAGCAATGTAATAGAGAATAACGTCATAAAAATAGTTAATAAGGTAAATTTTTTGGTATATAAATATAAAAAAAAAAAAAAATAGAGATGATTTTATGAGTTATTAAGGTTTTTATATAGGTAATTACAAATTTTTTTTAAATAATTAAGGTTGTACAGGACACCCCTTTTACGCTAGAGTGCACGTTTCAAATAAAATTTTTTATCAAGTCTTCTCAATACTTAACGATAACATTTTTAATTAATCATAATCATGTAGTGTGGCTACATCAAGAAAAAATTTTTTTTAACAAATCGTTCAATTATTTATAACAATATAGCCGTATAAAAAATTTACTTAACGCTTGTTAACTTATATAATTGTTGTTCGATTTCGATCCAAAATCTCTCAGTCTCGTGAGAAATTAATTATCGAAGGTCGTAACTTTTTTTGAACGTAAAATATTGATCATTTCTGTCAATACTTTTAAAAAAATCTAAATAAAGAGGGTGGGCTACATCAAGAAAAAATTTTTTTTAACAAATCGTTCAATTATTTATAACAATATAGCCGTATAAAAAATTTACTTAACGCTTGTTAACTTATATTTGGATCAAAATCAGAAAAAAATGATACAAGTTAACAAGCGTTGAGTACATTTTTTTTAAATGGCTATACTGTTTTAAATAATAGAACAATTTCTTCAAAAAAACTTTTTTCTTGATTCAACCACACTATATATTTGTAATTTATTAACAATTTTATTGTTAAATATGTAGAAGATGTGATAAAAAATTTTATTTGAAACGTACACTCTAGCTTAAAAGGGGTGTCCTATACAACCTTAACGGCTTGATAGAAATTATAGATCCGTACGTTTACTTACATAAGAACAAAGAGAAAATTAGAAAACAATTTTTGGTTAGTCAGGTACTAAATTTAGGATTGGGGGAAAGTTTGAATGGATTTTTTGTGAGTTAAAATAAAAGAAAAAAAAATGCATTAATAACTAAATAGCTGAAAAAAGAGTTTAGTGCTTTTAACAGAAGAAATACGCTAGACACGTTGTTTCAGAACCGATTTTTTAGTGAACCTATCGTTTTAGATATTTCCAGATTTGTCTTTGCTTTATAGGTGTACCTCGGCAAATTGCGAAACAGTAGTAGGTGAGATAGGTGTTGAAATATAAATCAGTGGTTATTGGGTTATTGGCTGTGAGGCTTGGATTGGGGCTGTTTCCCAGTAAAAGACTTTGGGCCCGAAGGAAGCAAAAAAATTTTTTGCCTGTAGGCCCAAGGTGATTACAAGAGCGCAAAGTGTGGCCTGGGGGTGCAAAGCGGCAATAAAATAAGGCTCAAAAAAGTTTATAACAATGCCTATAGACCCAAGAGGGCGTATTGAAAGGAAAACTTCAAATGCTTAAAATATTTACAACTTTAGGCATCAAGAAACTGTCGCAGAACATTTATCAAGATTAAAACAGCAGCGTCAAAATCAACGAATAAGTGATCTTTTCAGTGACATATGCGAGACTTTCATTTTAACCCAGACATTGGTTACTTAAATTTGCCAGCTACTAAAATAGGTGGAATGATATGCATTCGTATTGATTGTAATGCTTAAAAGTGGAAAGATGAGACTCCTGGACATTGTTTCTCTGGTAACAAAGTTTCGTAAATGAAAAAAAAAAAAGTATATTACACACCAAGGCGAAAATGTATGTGAGCTGCCACCAATCAGCAAGCACCTGAAGACGATGTAGAACTTTCTTCTGAGCGCCCGTATCGATTTTTTCTCTTCATCCACCAAAAATATGACGTTTTTCCGTGATTTTAGGGAGAAAAATGCAACATAACCTCAGAGATAAAAATTGTACTTGCTGCTTATTGGCAACGTATTTTAGCATTCTTGTCTAAAAATATGCTTCCATCGATTTCAGCTTGAGAGACAACCATGCAGAGAGTATCACAATACTTTTCCTACAAGCAGTACATGCGATTTTTTACCCAGAAAGAATGTTTCACTTTTTATCCTGAGAATAGGCAAGAAAGTCGTACTTTTGGCGGTAGTATAAGAAAAAATTTTAATTACAAATTTTTAATTAGTTTCGAATCTTTACATCTTTAAAAACCAGCCTTGTTTATACACTTTAACGTGAGAAAATGACAATCAACAGCTTTTTAGGGTGAACAACTATTGAATGGCGTAAGAAACGAACGATTATGAATTTTTTTTCATTTGTTAACAGTAAGTTACAGTAAAATTATTCAAGAAATCGAACACTTAAAAAAACTATATTTTAAATTATTTTTACGATACTTTTCTATTTTAATCATGATCGTACAAGTAATCTTAATATGGCTGGCATAACAGAAAAACATGCTTTTTCCATCGAAAAAATGCCGTTTTCACAAGAAGTCCGGAGAAAAACAGTCTAGCTAATTGGGGTTTTCAAGTATTTTACGTGAATAAGCAATAAATTTTTTCAAAAGGCTCTTCTTCTTAATGCACCTTTTCTAAACTTACATTTATAATAAACATGACATATTGATGTGCGCTAGTCCAAAAATAATTACTTTAATATAAAAATATAAACCAGATTATTTAACGGCTAATAGTTGATGTAAGGTGCGTTAGTTGCTACGTCACTCAGGATAAATACTTTAAGATTTTTTTTATTTACTTCAAAATTTTAAATGGTATTTACATAGACACATAAAAAATAAAGACTGCTCTATGTACGGTGCTGAAACACAAGTAGAAGGAGACACAACATCGAACGTGGGTATCAGTCTCTCTCACGCATTCCCACCTTTGACAATGTACCAGAGAGATAGATACCCACGTTCGATATTGTATCTCCTTCTATTTGTACTTTAGCGCCGTACATAAGAACGAGTAGTCTATTTTTATTATATGTCTATGGGTATTTATGTATACATATTTGACAGTATTCATAGACTCGATACAAAACATGCCATACCACGTATACATAAGTATGATTAATAAAAAGCTTATAAATTTAATAAACTTCTAAGGTTTAGCCAGTATATAAAAGGACAGAGCAATGTAATAGAGAATAACGTCATAAAAATAGTTAATA